AATCAGGGTAACTGGGATATCCATCACCTCAAGCCTTTATCATTTGTGTTAAGAACATTCCAATTCCACTCTTCTAATTTGTTTAAAATAGACAATAAACTACTGCTCATCATATTTACTCTATTTTGCTACCGATTTCTAGGTCTTATTCATTCTCTCTAACTGTATTTTTGCTCCCAATAGCCATTCTCACTTTATCTCATCCTCAAGACAAAACATTCTCCCAGAATGTTGATAAGTGGGTATTAGGGTAAGATAGTTCTGAAATGGATGAAATAAGCAAAGAACTACCTTTTTTTTTTATGAGCAAGAAAACCTCATTTTATAACTCTTTTATTCATTCGTTCCACAAATATTCATCTAATGCCCATTAGGTGCAGACAGTGTGTGCAGCAGCCAATTATTATTGTCCCTTAATTCCCCAAAGGAGGAGTAAAATTTTGTATTACTTGAAGAGGACCTGAGTTTTTAATGCAGTAGATAAGCTGGTTTTCCAGAATTTTCCTAACACGGCATGGCTGGCTTTCTAGAATTTTTATTAATATTGGTTAGTTTATAGTAATATATATGAAGTTCCTCTAGGGACTAGTTTCCTTTTACTAGAATGAAGATTAAGAACTTAAGCGGGTGAAGTCAGTGAATTCAAGAGAACACGAAGGTAGATCACCAATATATGGTGGCAGAAAAGATGAACCTAAAGCAAGAACCCGGAGAATGTTTACATTCTTGTCCCCAACAAGAATGAGGACAGCCAGAGCCCAGTGGGAGCTTAAGAGAAAGGAGCAGAGGGTCCCCCAAGATTGGGCAGAGCAAAGAGCCCACACGCTGGAATGTCATCGTGAGAAAAGGGACACACAAACGAAGCATATTCGTCTCCTGGACTGAGAGCCTGTGCTATTTGGGAGGGTTCGGGCGGAGTATAAAGGAAAAGAGAGTGAGCAGAACATTCAGAGTGACGTTTAAAAGCATCATCTTGGGCTTGTATGCTGGGTAGCTTTTTAAGGTACCACAAACAACCCTGTTCGCATCTCCCCACTGCTTTGGTATCACGGAACATAAATAAGCAAATCTTACGGATCCAAGTGGCGTCAACTGTCCAATTAGAAATAACTGTTGCCTGGAAGGGAGCAAACAGGTGAGTAAAAGCTGTGTACCTGGCAGTATTATTTCAGGAAAGCCCATTTTCCGGGCTATTGCTGTGGATCTATCAACCAAGTGCGAAAAATTCTTCTGAACCTGCGTGAGGTCACCTGGCAAAAGCTTCAAGGACACCCAAAGACCTTTAAAGAAACAAAGGATACACCTTCAGTTCTTTGTATGATCTATATAACACATACGCATAAGTGCTGAGAAAGACACCTAAGTTGTATGGTGATAACCAGATACCTTACTATAAAGACATAAATTCTCCCCCAGTTAACATATAACTTTAATGACACTCCCATCAAAATCACAACAAGAATTGCTTGAGAATTTGATAGAGATGCGAACAGATGTTTATTTGAGGGGGAAAAATGAGTAGAAATAGGCCCTATCAGAACCAAAATAGATTGTAAAGCTACAATAATATGTGATACTAGCAGTAAAAAAAATATATATTAATATAAATCAATACCGAAGTATATTGTAAAGCTACAGTAATGTGTGATACTAGTGGTAAAAAAATACATAAAACAATGAAATTAGATACTATGATGTATAGCAACTTAATATATGGCAAAAGAGATATAACGTAATCATGAAAAAACTCAATAATTTCACAAATGTGCTGGGACAATTTTCTTGCTGCTTAAAGCAGAATTTAGTTTCACACCTTGTATTTTCATTAAAATAAATTCCTAACATAATAAGTAAATAGGAAAAAAGACAAAATTAAAAGAAAAATTATGCATACAGTTATTAAACCTCTGAGAATGAGCCACTTTTCTAAGGAGAAAAACACATGGCAAAAACCACGTATACAAAAGAATTATCTATATACAAACTAAAATCTTTGATATACATAAAAAGGTAAAAAGTACACTATAAAAGGGTGACATAAGACATTGTGAATTTATATCCATTAAAAGAAAAACATTTAAGATCCTCACAAATAAACAGGCAATTCACATGGAAATAGCAACTTATAAATATTTGGCAAAGCAAGAATTGGAAAAATATATGTCTTAAATAAGACAGAAAGATTATTACCCTCATTACGTAAAGAGCTCATATAATCTGAGAAGGAAAACTTTAGGAAACTCATAACTATATATGAAGGCTAGATTAATTCACCTTCAAGTCATTTCTTAAAATGCAAAAGAACTAAGGGAGTCCACCGTTCACCTTTCAAAACTCAGTCCGCAAAGCGAGCAAGAGTACAGTAGGATGAACACTCCAATGTGGTGATTGGTACCCATTGTTAGACATCTATGGCAAGCAATCTGGCAATGTGTACATCTCCAGGATTAACACACTGACTGCCATGTGAGCTGTATTTAACTCAGGCTGGTTTTGAGCCGGGGCCACGTGAAGCAAAACCCTGCAGTTGGTTCATGAAAATCTTACCTACTGATGTTCTTATTGTTACAATTAATATTGACAACTGAATTCTAAACGTGTGGATTGCATTGCATATAACTCACGCACAGAAAACAATAAAAAAAAATAACAAATTAGAAAGAATCATTTGTTTTAATAAAATGCCATGGCCCCAGGGAAAAAATGTTTTCTTCTAGTGTGGCAGTCAATGTGCTAAGCTTGTTTCCACCATGTGACCCAGAAATCTAACTTCTAAGAATTTTCTTGGGGAGGTGGTCCTAAATATAGAAAAAGTTTTATGCATAAAGATAGTCATGGCAGAGTTATTTAAATTTATAATCGTGACAGATTAGAAAGTACTTAGTGTTTATCTAGGGAATTCAATTTTCCTAAATCTAAACAATAGAGTATTATGCAGCCACAGAAAATATTTGTGAAGAGCATAAAAACAGCTGGAAAGTGCTTGTTTTGTTAAGCAACAATGACTTTTTTTTAGTTTTGTTTTAAAAAAAAAAACACGTATAATAATCTACTTAGTATAAGAGTTTTCCACTCTAACTGAAATTATATTCTTAGGTTAAGAGCTCCAAAAAACCAGAAACATATTTGTTTTCAGATTCTATTTGATTTAAAATGCAGTTTCAATAAGCAGAACTTCTCTTAGTTAAAACCGTGTCAACAGAACGTTATGTAGAGGTAACAAAAATAACTTAAAAAGTTTTGCATTATTTTACATTAATATATAGTCACATTACTTTCCTTCATATTAATTCATATTACTTCCCTTCCTCTGAGTTTCAGGAAATGTAATGAGATAAACCTATTCAGAATGGAACATAATTATTCTCCAATCTCTTTTTCTTTTGTTGTGTTCACCTGGAGTCGGCATCGGGAATGAAGGTTAGACAAAAATGAGGAGAGATTCAGGGGGTAAAAACTTGTTCCATAGAATTTACGAGATACAACTGAGATCCAACTCGCCACTGGGCGTATCTCAATGTTCTTCAAGAATTAAAAGCCTTTGATAGGAAGTGCGCTGGGCGGGCCCCAGCAGAGGCTGTTCTGTATCAGAGGAAGATAATGCCAGGGCAGGAGTCCAAGGACCCAGCTCTGCATGTCCCCCCACCCTAAGCAAAGTCCCCTCCCAGCTCAGTAGACAGGGCCACCGGGCTGTGTACCTTGTCCTTTGTGATTCACTTCCTTTGCCGCTATCACTTTGTTTAAGACTGAAGTGAGTGGCTCATTCTCCGCGATCACATGCGATGTTATCAAGGGCGACATGATGAGCTGTCTCTGGCGGATGTAGGTTTCCATTGCGATCCTGGGAAAGGCAGAAATAAGGGGTAAGGAGGGAAAGGAAGTCTCTGTGGCACAACCTCTGATAGTGGTGGCTTTTATGGGAGTAACTTGGAAACATAACACGAAACTCTTTCCATCTTACCTTTATTTTTCCATTGGGTGTCTATCTTAAACACTAAATTCATCTTGGAAATGACTTGAGGCAAAGAGAAGAAAAACAACAACAAAAAACAAAACTGAAGGCCAAATGTTAACAGCTAAAATCAGAGGCAATGCTCCATGTTCTTTTTGAGGTGGAAGAGGCTGCTGTAATGGGATTTAGAAAGGACCAGCCATGAGAGGGACAGGAAGATGGGCTTCCCGTTCTACTTCTCCTTGACAGTGAGCTCTGCGAGAGTCTCCCTCCAGGCCTCAGTTTCCTCATTAGACAGGAGACAGGCTTGGGTGGTATGCCTCTTGAGGCTCCCATGCCGTGCTGACACTCCACGGACGAGAGCAGTGTAAATGCTGGGCGTCTGGTGGGTGTTCTTAGATTTCCATGTGGTGACAAACTGCATCCAGGATTGCGATGGCCTGGGGGCTGCCAAACAAGCTCCGCTAGAACGCTCACATCAGGCTGGGGCTCAGAAAGGGTGATCAAAGAACCGAACACAGCCCCCATTCTACAGACGGCAGACACGCCATCAGTCACGGCAGAGCTGCCTGGTGCCGCACAATAAGTCCCCTGTCTTCTCTGCCTGCCACATGCAGGCCAGCTTTCTCTGCAGGGCTCCTTGCACCCTGACAATAAAACACACAGCATGTGTGGCTGGAAAATGGGACTGCTCTAGTCTGAGATGTTTTTTTTTTTTCCAAATGACTCTCTCTAGATGGATTTCCAAAATACACATACAAAACCCTCCTAGAGGAAAACGCTATAAAGTTTTTGAAGTAGGTTATGAAATAGGTTATGAAGTAGGTTATAAATCTTAGGAGTTAAATGCCAGAGGCTGCCATTTGCATGGTGAATGCTTTGCTGGGGCTGCTGGCTGCACAGGGAGCAGTAATGAAATTAGGGCTGGGTTTGTCGGGGACTCAAAGCATGGATTATTTTCACGGTGGGGACAATCTCAGGGCTCTCTGTGGCCACGTGGCTGCTGGAGGAGAGCTGGTTCAGAAATTAAGCAGGGGGGCACATAATCAAAGAAAGAAACCCACCGCAGAGGTGAAAACAAATATAAAGATATATATTTGAGGTAACTTTCATATCCATCAATGCTGCTCCTATTATGTACATATAATAATATTAATACATATATACATATATAATACATTATATATGCATATGATAGGAGCAGCTGATGACGCACTGGTAGGGGTCAGTTTTGGAAATGTTCCTAAGTGGCCACCAGGTCACCACCCCCTGCGCTGGTGCTAGACCCAGTCGCACTTGCGTCCCGACGATTACAAGTATTGAGATTTGCTCCCAGTAGCTCCCCAATGGCCCACCCATGGCTCTAGCTCCTGAGGCTCAGCATGGGGGATCCTTTCATACACTGCCAGGCTGGCTGTCTCCCCACTTGCAAGAACCCCAACCCATGGGTTCATCAGCTCTTTACTCTCTTATCTCCTAACTTGCTTCTCAAAGTGTGGTTCCCTGACCAGCAGCACGAGTAATCCACCAGAAGCTTGTTAGACACAGACCTCAGACCTACTGAATCAAATTCTTCATTCTAGCAAGACCCCAGGCAATTTGTATGCACGACGCAGTTGGAGAAGCCCTGCGCTATCCCACATGATTCCTTGTCTTCCATGACACCTGTTCCATATATACTCTGGCACTTCTGACACCAAAATGGTACCATCCTCAGGATTCCAGTGCAGACGGACATGTGCCCTTTATTTTTATTAATATATTCCTCTGGTCATCTCTGCAGAATCAGGAAAGTTCGGTTTACCATCTTAAATGAGTCCAACATAAACGACTTTGAAAAGAGTCTTCTGTCCAGCTCCTGTCTGACAATCTTCCCTAACTAGGAAAATGATTGTTCGCACGTGGTTCTACATTAACACACCACTCGCACGGCTAATTCGGGTCTCAAGTCACCTAGGAGAAGTGCCAAAGTACTTACTGCTGAAAGGGAATAAAATGCTGCTTTTCTTCATCATCTACCTTCCCATGTATGATATCGGTAATATCCATCACTAGGAAAGAGATAAATGCAATTAAAGACAGTAATTGCTTCATGCCTCAGCAAGTTACTACGGGAAAGGACGGTACCAGCAGACATAAAACACCAGGGGAAGAAAGATACCAACCAAGCAGGGACGTTTCTTTTATTTCTTTGCCAACCATGACTCCCAGTGTATCCAGCCCAGCAAGACAGCAATTCATGAGGTGCTTGGAAAAGGCTCAGATTTAGTTGGATCAAGCCTGCAGACTGCCCACTTTAAAGATTCTACAAGATTGAGTTGCTAAATTCTTGAGAAATTTGACACCGGATTACTTTTTAGTAAGCCTGCATTCAAAGCCACAAGAACACATATTTTTGGCAGGAGTGTCGGAAGAAGTAAAGACCTGGAGAGAGAAACTCAAGACTGGAAGTGGTCAACTATCTCTTTGATTGGACATATTCTCACCTGGTTTCTACATAAGCCGGGTCACCAGTAGCACAAAATAGATCATATAGTGATTTGCTCCTCTCCACACAAGGAAAGCACTTACTATTAAGGCACTGTTCTAAGCCTACTGCATGTGCTATCCTATTTATACAGATACCTTAGCCCCATTTTGAGAGATGAGGAAACTGAGGCACAAGAAGTTTAAAGAACTTGCCCTAAGTCTTGAAGTGATAAAGCCAGGGTGTGAGCCCAACGTTGATTATAGAGCAAAACCACATGCCACTATGCCCAATGTCTAGAGAATTAGTAAGTGGGCCACCCCAAAGCTGCTAAAATTAGGCAGGACTCCCGGCAAGAGGTGATCCTTAGGTTAATAAATTATAGTCTGGTCATAAAACACACATGAACAAGATACCACACACTCCCCAGATACCTGTTTGGAGAGTAAAAAGAAATACTGCTAGCTGAGACAACACTCATAATGAAAAATAAAGGTAAGGGAAGAAACGCCTTCTCGAAAGTAACTCAGACAACACAGAAGGCTTGGAACATAATAATGCTGGTGAGAAGAAGATGTAGAAAGCTGGACGCCACGTTCAACGTGCTGTCAGCCTATTGTGGAACTCTGCAAGAATTGCACCAAAAAAAATGCAGAGAAATTTTTATTTGACCTCCCGAAATAGGCAGTTCATTTGTCAATGCCGTCGTCTGGTTACTCCTGAGCTCTGCTGATGCCTGACGTCAAGGCTCAGAGTAAATTAGTCTCCTTTCCCTCCCTACAATGTTCAACACCCCAAACACACACAAACACACACACACACCTTGAAATAAAAAAGAAAGTAAAAGCCCCAAGCTTCATGCTTGAGTCTGTCTGGCCCATTTTGAATGACGATGACCTTGAATATGCCCTCCCTACCTCCTTTTACAGAACGATAAACAGATTGTCATATAGGTGGCTAAATAGTCTTGGCCCGGGGCTCCTTGCCTTCTCTGAGATGTCATTTTAATTCTCTCTAAAGAAGTAATGCTGTTCCCTCTGGTCGGAGCTGGAGCAGCACATGGGCTCCAGGGCAGTCACGGGGTGTAGGATATAGAAGGTCCCATGGGAGACAGAGGCCGCCTCACTCTCCACACATCCCACAGGGCCGACCCTGAGAACACGGAGCATCGGGGCCCTTGTTTCAGGAGCAGATTTACGACATCTCGTAGCCTTCGAGCTATCGGTGACCAACACGTCAAGATAAGACAAAGAATCTATTTCCTCAATTGCACAAACCTTGGAAGGTTCTGGGGCTCGGTGTAAGCCAAGGACCCTCTCTGAAAGCATTTAGAAGTAAACACGATGTTGCCTTTAAGGAGTAAATTTCCTAGACAGGCAAACCACTTGCTGGAGAGTATTTTATTTCACTAAAGTCAATATGCAGATGGAGGCAGGAACATTCCAGCTGTCACACCTGAGGTTCTGCTGTAAGACATTGTGCTGGGAACCAAGGGGATAGGAAAGGTGTGTGAGCCAGGTGAGGACACAGAATCCAAGAGAGAGCTGGCAGTCCCAGGCAGTACACGCTGTGTGCCTAATACCAATGATGACGATGTGATCTGTCACTCACTGTCCCTGGGCAGGCCTCCCTCCTCCCTCCCTCCCTCTTTCTTCTAATTTTTAAAATTGTGGCAAAGCACACATAACATAAAATTTGCCATCTTGACTATTTTTAAGCGCACGGTTCATTGGCGTTAAGTGCATTCACACTGTTGTGCAACCATGACCACCATCCATCTCCAAAGCTTTTTCATCTTCCCAAACTGAAACTCTGTCCCCATTGGACACGAACCCCTCATTCTCCTCCCCCAGGCCCTGGCAACCCCCATTCTACTTTTCCTCTATAAATTTGACTCTTGTAGCCTCATATAAGTGGAATCACACAGTATTTGTTATTTTGTGGCTAGCTTATTTTACTTAGCATAATGTCCTCAAGGTTCACCCATGTTGTAGTACGTGCCAGAATTTCCTTTTCAAAGTAAGGAACATTCCAATGTATGTATAATACATACCACATTTTGTTTAGCCATTCATGTCCCGATGGATTCACGTGTTGGGTTGCTTTTGCTTTTTGGCTATCATGAATAATGCTGCTATGAACATGGATGTACAAATACCTCCTTGAGACCCTGCTTTCAATTCTTAATCAAGTGGGATCGCTGGATCATTGGTAGTTCCATGTTTAATGTTTTGAGGAACCGTCATCCTGTTTTCCACAGGGGCTGCACCTTTCACATTTAGCTCTGGGTATTTCTCATACCTGCTACTCCAAAAGGTCTTCGGAGCCCACAGGTGTGCTTCTTGCCTTCCTTTAGCTCCATGTGGCCCACGCGGATGATCTGGCACACCAGGCTGATGCGGGGCCGGATGAGGTCCGTGCTGCTGAGATCCTGAAGGGGCAGAGAACATGCAAGAGAGGAGGTTGGGCTGAGTCAAGCTGCCACCTGCGTCTTTCTTTTCTTTGCATCCTACGACAAAATACTGTTCAGAGCACAGTTCTCAATGCCGAAGTACCAGAATGACTCCTCCCTTCCCCATATCCAAGAACTAGCACGGCATCAGAGAAAATGATTTTGTGTTCATAAAAATGCATTTTTTTTTTTGTTCCCCAGTTCCTACTTGAAATTTACAAATGAGATCATAGTCAAAGTTTCCAGTTTATCAAGTTAAGTGGGGTATTGAAAAATCAAGACAGTCATTGCTGCTACTTTATATCCTTCCAGGACATATCTCAATACAGGATGCATTTCAGTGTCAAATGAAATAAAAACCTGCAATAACATTGACATTTATTGAGTAGCCACAAGTCTGCGACTTTTCATTTCCTCTTCAAAACAATCCTATGAGGCAACTATAACACAGGCCCTGCTTTCTCTAATCATTCACCTGATTTATGAGATATATTCATTGAGAACATCTTGGTATATGTTGAATGAAAGATGTGTAGATGAAATGTCTTTTTTTTTTTTTTTTTGTGGCTAATATTCTTAGAATACTTGTTTGTATTCTTCAAGATGGGTGAGTAAACCCAGGAATGAGCTCACGTATCTCATTCAATTTAACATCAGAAATAATTTAATCAGATCCCAGATTGTTTTTTATGAAACAGTTGCCTGAGGTCTATTTACTGAATCGAGAATTACTTTTAAAGCAATCACTCCAAATCCATCCCCTGTAATGTAGTTAACTCACGTCTCCAAGATAGGAATATACAGCAATGATAACATCTACCCTGAATTTCTATTCTAGGTTCTGCAAAGCTTTTGTTAATTAAAAAAAAATAAAGACTCCAGGCAACCGGTTACATAAGCCGTGGAACCACTCATACAGTAGTCCTCCCTGCGCCAAGGC